AAGCAAGTGCCTGCAAAATTTGGTTTGAACCATGAAGGTTTTAAATTACTAGGTGGCCTTATGTTGTGCAGTAGTGGGTTAAGTTGCTACCTGCAACAGTGTCATCTCATAGGGACATGTGTTGGAGTCCCAGCTGCAGCTCCCTCCTAATGCACAGAGGAAAGCAGTGGCAAATGTCCCAACTGCTCAGACCCCTGCACCCACCTGAGAGACACAGAAGCAGCTCCTGGCTTCTGCCCGGCCCAGCCACAGCCATTGCAGCCCTTTTGGATTGAGCCAGCAGATGGAAGATCTCTCTTTTTCTCTCTTTCTTTCAAATGAATAAAGTTAAATCTTTTTAAAAAAACAGTACTAGGAACTGTTGTGCATTAGTAATTGCATATTTTCTTTTGGTGTCTTTAGGTTTATGTATTTATTTGAAAGACAGAGAAAGAGAGAGAGAGACAGAGATCTCCTGTTCACTGGTTCACTCCCCAAATGACCACAGTGATCAAGACTGGGCCAGGCCATAGTTAGGAGCTCAGAATTCCATCTGAGTATCCCATATGGTTGGCAGTGACCTGAATTCTTGGGCATTATGTACTACCCTCCTAGGCTCATTGGCAGGGTGGTGAATCAGAAGGGGAACAGCTAAAACTTGAACCAGTACTGCAATGTTGGGTACCAGCACTGAGAGCTTGATCAGCTGTACCACAGAGCCAGCTGCTCTTGTAGTACTTGAGGTGTGTGCCTTACATGGACTCAGACGGCACATCTTGCAGGTTCCCTTGTGCACTTCTGATTGGTGGGTCCTTTTGCATTCCTCTCAGTTGGATATGTGAAGGACAGAGCTGCCTTCTTTTTTTGACATTCTGAACACAATAGTCAATAAGAAAATCATTAGAGGTGTTTATGTCATAGTCTTACTTGGAAGGAAAAGAAAGATGAAAAATGGGAAGCCCAGTTAACTAGTTTAAGATTATCAAAAAGTGCAGTTTTCAGCAAGGTTTCATTTATGTGGAAGCCCTACGCTGGGACACCATGGTAATGAGGGGAGGGAAGGATGAATATGGAATGAGAGGCAGAGGGCCCTTTGCCTGTTTTCATTCCGATGCAGTGAGGGCATCTCACTCAGGTGCAGTGTGCCTTAGTGACTCAAGTGGGTTCATGTGCTAAGCATGCTTTTGACATCCTATTGCAAATACTCATTGGGATTTTTAAACAGCACATGGTATGAATTTCCATTCTCTTTGCTTTTTATTCTTTTGAAAAGAGGACCTTTGTATTTAATGTTACAAGTATTTTTGTTCAACCAGGTAGTTAACAGCTACTGAACTAGAAGTGAAGTTTGCTCCAAACTCCTGGAGAGAAATAGAACAGGTACCAAAGAGTAACAGGATGTTTCCAGATTTTGTGGGAAAGCAGAACTAAAAGATAAGTTTATTTTGGTGCAAAAAAATTTTTTTAATCACTTTTTTCATAGAATGCATTTTCCGTGAGCTTTTCCAAGACCCTACATATGCAATAATTTGCTTTAAAAAATGCTGAATCAAAAAGTTACTTTATGAAGTAAAAATTCTAAGTTCTTATCTCTTAGGCTTTATTTTGCTAACATTGCTAGAATTAGCACAGCTGGCTTAGATTGAAAAATAGTTCAATCTTATGCTTCAGTAAAATTAATTCAATCAAATTGGAGTTGAGGTTAGATAAAAAGAAGCATTCTTAAGTGTAACAGGGTTCTCAGGGAAGGACTAGGACATTTTCTTTCTCAGTGGCCTTTGAAAGTAGGCTGTTTTCAGGGTGGGCATTAGCTCGACTATTAAGGCACAGTTTGTGATGTTTGCGCTCTATTAGAGTGCCTGGGTTCAGGTGCCAGCTCCACTTCCCATTCCATCTTTTTGTTGACATGCGACCTGGGAGCCAGCAGGTGACCAAGTACCTCAGTACCTAGGTCCTTCCACACATGTGGGACACAGCAGGATTGAGGTCTAGTCTCCTGGATCCAACCTGGCCCAGCCCCAGCTGCCAGCTGTTGTGGCTGTCTAGGAAGTGAAGCAGCAGATGCACGGCCCTTGTGTTTGTCTCTCTCTCTCTCTCCTAGGATATTGTGTTTTCCAGATATGGTAGATGCATTCACATACAATGGTGTATGAACAGGTGCCATGTGTAGCGATGGAGTGATGACTGTCGGGAAGCCTTCCTCTCCCACGTCTGTGATTTCTGCCCCCTCTCCCCCACCTGTTTTCCTTAGAAAGCAGAGACATAGAGACAGACAGCCATCTTTCATCCACTGGTTCACATCCGGAATGCCTGCAAAAGTCAGGGATGGGCCAGGCCAAATCCAGGATTCTAGAGCCTCATTTACATCTCCCACAAGGTGGCAGGGACCCAAGTACTTAAGCTGTCCACGACCTCCCAGGGTGTGCATTAGCAGGAATGCCTGAGTTGGAAGTTAAACCCAGACAATCCATTGCGGGATGTGGGTGACTTGAGTAGTGTCAAACATCCTTAGCCCCTACATTTCTTTCTTTCGTTTTTTTTTTTTTAAAGATTTGTTTATTTTTATTGGAAAGGTAGGTTTACAAAGAGGACAGAGAGAAAGCTATTCCTCTGGTTCACTTCCCAAATCACTGTAACAGCTTGAACTGAGCCAATCCAAAGCCAGGAGCTTTTTCCTGATTTCCCTTATAGCTACAGGGTCCCAAGGCTCTGGGCCATCATGTACGGTTTTTTGAGACTACAAGCAGGGAGCTGAATGGGAAATGAGGCAGCTGGGACCCGAACCAGCGGCTATATGGGATGCCAGCACTTTTAGACAAAGGATTAGCCAGTTGAGCCATGGCACCAGGCCCACCCTCACGATTTCCATTTTTCTTGATTATATTGCTTATCTTCCACACATATTTTATTGATTGAACATTTCCATTTTTATCTTGGGGGGAGGATCATAGTTTTAACATTTAATAGTCAGGTTTAGGTTTTTGTTTTCATAATTTTTATCAGATCCACTAGTATTCCTGTCTCTCTAAGGTTGTGCTTTATCAGTCCTGTTTGTTTTTTTCATTATTTTATTTGATTTCCTTTCCTGTACCTCTCCCCAAGTGTGAATTATGTCATGGAACCAGACACTACGCTTCAGTACGGTTCATTGAGATTTTGGCTTTAATAGATAATCTGCAGGGCTATGTAGAATGTGTTACCTCATATTTTAATCAGTACTTTGGGATTCTATCAGAATAATGATTAAAAATGTCAGGTCTTGATGCAGAAGCATAAACAGGTAGCCATGTGCTGTTTGTAGTTCTGTGTCTCTGTGATGCTATTGGGACAGCTGCTGGTTCCCTCCTCCCCAGCTTGATTCTGTCTTCCTTAATTATGCTGACCATGAAGCCTAGCTGACTCAGCAGTTTGCTGTCTAAAGTGGCAGGCTTGGCTGTGGCTCTGCCCCACTGGGTCGGTGTCCGGAAGCATTTCTGGTGAATAAGGAGCTGTGGGCCTGGTCCCTTTTCAAGTTGTTGGAGAAAGAAATGAGTCAGTATCTTTTCTGATGTCAGTATACAGCACTGAGAAACTCCTAAGGAGCTGGTTAATTTAGCAGATATGGGAGGAGGGCTATATTTGTTTTATTTAAGCCTCAGGAACTATTGCTAGTTTGGTAAGTTCAGATCAGCACATTGGCATCCAGATGCAGAGAGAACTTTGTGCCTGTGGTGGAGTAAATCAGGGATCCAACCCGAGTTACTTCGGACTGGTCTTTGCTGTGGCTTCACAGTGGATGCTCCCGAACGGTTTTCCACACCCTTTTCATACAGGGACACGGAGTCGTGTTCTGGTAACATGGATGGCCTCTCTTCAGACCTGTGGTCCCCATAGCCAGCCTAAGGCATTCTGCCTGCGTTTTATATATAAAAAGGGGAAACTGAGTGATGTGGATAGTGAATAGATGGAATTTCAACTTGACCAGCAAGTATCACTATGGAGAAACCTGTTTCCAAACAGGTTCTTCCCGTACAAGTTCATCAGTTTTACATTCTGTTCTCCTCTTTGCCTTTCTTAGGACTGGTGCCAAGAGGAGGCTGAGTTTCCCAAGGAGTTCTCCAAATTTCATCATTCCCCTTTATTTTATCCTCCCTACTCAAAAATATAGCCAGGATTGAGCCAGTATTGTGGCTCAGTGGAGTAAGCCACCTCTTTCACCTCTGGCATCCCATGAGTACTTATTTGAGTCCCAGTTGTTCTGGGAAGGCCAACAGAAGATGGCTTAAGTACTTGAACCCTTGCCTCCCCATAGATCTGGATGGAGCTCCAGGTTCCTGGCTTTGTCTCTCTGTCTGTCTCTCTAACTGAACCTTTAAAATAAATAAATAAATAAATAAATATATATATATATATATATATATATAAAATTATTGACAAAAGGGTTTGAGGCCAGGATATGTATATATATAAAATTATTGACAAAAGGGTTTGAGGCCAGGATAGCATCATAGTGAGTTAAGCCATTGTCTGTGACATTAGACAGTACTGCTTGAAATTGTGCTGCTTTGTTTCCAGTTCATTGTCCTACTGATGTGCTTGCGAGAGCAGTGGAGGATGGCTCAGGTCCCTGCCACCCACTTGGGAGACCCAAATGCAGTTCCTGGCTTCTGGTTCCTGCCTGGCCCAGCCCTGACCACTGCAGTCATTTGCGGAGTTAGCCAGTGAATATAAGAGCTCTACCTCTTAGTCTTGCTCTCTCTCCCTTTCTGTCTGTGGCTTTTCCTTTGTCTCTGTAACTTTGCCTTTAAATAAATATTTTAAAAAGACACAGGGCCTTACTTTCATATTCGCCACTATTTTTGTTTCTAATCATGTTTCTAATACTAATGTTGTGTTTCTCACAGAGTTGAGGAAGCACTCTGTTTTCATAGCCAGCGGTTTAAAGAATGGCAGTCCTTTTAAAAGTGGTCTAGGGGACTTTCAGGGTTAAATGTCTGACAGTTTTGCCAGAAGATGTGCTGATTTTTCTCTCTGTTTTTCAGGTCCTGCCTTCTTCCCTGGGCGATGTGCTGAGATTTTTGCCAAGGGTCAAAGCATCGGGAAGCTTGGGGTCCTTCATCCTGATGTTATCACCAAGTTTGAGTTGATGATGCCCTGCTGCTCCCTGGAAATCAATATTGAGCCCTTTTTGTGAGGATGCTATCCGTTGTGATTGTCGCTTTTCCTCCCCAGTCCCTCCATTGGGAACACCTGTTTGTGCTTTAATGTTTGAGAAAATAAAGGTGTTGTCTGGCTCCCTGGGCAGATCCCCTCTCCCTGTGTGAAGTTGGCAAATGCAGCCTACTATTGGGCTATCTGTGTGTGTGCATCTGCATTGTTGAGCCAAAGCCCTAGGGAGGGACAGAGGAACACGCTGCAGGGTACAGTGTCATTGGGCCCCTCAGCTCAGAACTTCACATGGAAGCCTGTGCGTACTGCAGGATGAAACAAGATACTTGGAGTATCCATCAGTCGAGTGTGATGCAACTAAGGTTTTCAGCTGTATTCTCCACATCTAACATATTTTCATTTGGGCAAACCAAGAAAAGAGCATTTTTAGAAAACCTTTGGAAGCACTTAAGTTGCTGCTGGGGATGCTCATATCCCACATTGGAGCGCCTGGTCCAGCCCTAGCTCCACTCTCAGTCCCAGCTCCCTGCTGTCATGCACCCTGGGAGGTTCAAGGATCTGAGATCCTGCCACACCCACATTGGAGACCCAAACATCGTTCCTGCATCCCACCTGGTCCAGCCCTAGCTTTCATCCATGTTTGTGAACTGAATCAGTGGATGGGAGTTCTCTCTGTATGTGTCTCTGCCTTTCAAATAAAAAAATCAGTAATGGTCTAACAGTTATCAATTTTGAAGTCATTTTAAAGGGAAAGAAAAAGCTATGACGCAAGTATTTACAGTATGTGAAGGAACATGTCCTCTATCTGTGATACTTGGAGATAGAAGATTGCAACAAATCTGCAGCAGTCCCAGTGCCCACTTCCAATCCAGCTCCCTGTGAAGACTGGAAAGGCAACGAAGAACCACCTGAGTCCTTGAGTACATATGAATAAAATAAATAAATAGAAATAATAAATGTAAGCAGATTATAAAGTAATTAAAATAACAATAACGGATCATCACCATGGCATAATACATTAAGCCTCCCCCCGCACCAGCATCCCATTTGAGAAGTGGCTTTTCCACTTCTGATTCCAGGAAAGCAGTGGGGGATGGCTGCAGTTCTTGATTCCCTGTGGGAGACCCAAAAGAAGTTCCTCAGCTCCAGCTGCTGCGGTCATTTGGGGAGTGAACCAACAGCAGAGGGAAGATTCTTTCCATAACTCTGCCCTTTTAAATAAAAATTAAAAATATATTTTTAAATGTATTTTAAAGATTTATTTTTATTGGAAAAGCAGATTTACAGAGAGAAGGAGGGACAGAGAAAGATCTTCTATCCTCTGGTTCACTTCCCAAAAGGCTGTAACAACTTGAGCTGAGCTGATCAGGAACCAGGAGCTTCCAGGTCTCCCATGTGGGCACAGGGTCCCAAAGCTTTGGGCCATCGTCGCTGCTTTCCAAGGCCAGAAGCAGGGAGCTGGATGGGAAGTGGAACAGCTGGGACATGAACCAGAGTCCATAGGGGATGCCAGTGCTTGTGGGTAGAGGATTAGCCAGTTGTGCCATTGTGTTGGCCCCACTTAAAAAACACATGAAAAAAAGACATTTTAGAGTGATGCAAATATTTTATACCTTAATTCAAGTGGTGTGCATTACACCTCAGTGAAGTCAGAAAAAGTGTAACAGCAGTTGATGGATACGTAAAGTAAAACGGCATGTAGTATATAATTGGTGTTTCTGCTCAAGGTGCGGGCTTACTGGCCTACAACTGTTTAATGAGACATTCTGTCAGATTCTCAGTGATTCAAATCACGGCTCCTGGGTCATGTGACAGCCATTGCTGCAGAGGGTGGAACCATTTGTTCTGTCAGTAATCAGCCATCTTCATATTTTTTGGATAATAAGAAATCACTTGTAACGAAAATCCACCAATAGTTGATTGGATATCCTAGCATGAAGGGGAAAGATCAAATCCAAGCATCCCAGTAATGTTTATGTGCTCTGGAGCAGGAAGCTGTAGAAGGAAGACGGTTATTGGCTGCTCCGTGTGTGAACTTGCAGCTTATTGGGCACTGATGCTCCACAGCCTGATCGTCTTACACAGCGGTTCCCTCTGAAGCAAACGAACTCCAGCCAGGGCGGTCTGGCGGCGGCCAAGAGCCTTTACTGGGTGAGACACCTGCTGCAGTATGAAAGACGAAAACGACATTGACATTTGATTTAGAGATCAAGTCCACTGCTAAAGTCTGGCATCCCTGCATCGCTATTAAATCTTTTCCATGTGATCTGGTTTCATATTTTTAATTTCTTTGGTTACTAATTGGAGGAAATGGTTAGAATGGAAAACAAATGGACTTAACAGATGAATGACTTGGTCAGAAGATACATGACCAATAAATGGGGTTGCAACAGCTTGATATGAGGTGGAGATCACAGCTGATTCAATGATTTGCATCATTGACCTACTTATCCAGAATGCTGAGTTTTCTTGGAAGATTTTATTTTATTTTTTAATGCTTGCATTTATCTGAGAAGTAAAGAGACAATTCTCTCGTTTGCTGGTTCATTCCCCAAATGCTCAGAACAGCAGAGGCGAGTACACACTGCAGCCAGGAGGCTGGCACTCCATCTGGGATTCCCCACGTGGGTGGCAGGGAATCGGCTAGTCACGCCATCAGCTACCACTCAATGTACGCATAAGCGGGAAGCTGCGTCTGAAGTGGAATAGCGAGGACATCCCAGTAAGGGATGCAGGAGTCTCAAGCAGAAGCTTAACCACTGCGCACAGCTCCCACTCCTTCACGTGTTTTTTGTTGTTTTTACAAAACATCCTGAAAATTGTTAAGAATCATGGCATCCACTGACAGCAACCAGCATTGTTCTTTATTCTTCAGCTGTTAGGTATGACCACGAACATGGCAGGATTGTCATCAGCAAATATTTTGAAAGCATGGTCCGCAGCGCTGGAATTAGAGGGTTTGCCAGATAGGAAATGAATCTGATTTTTTAAGACAGAAAGGTGAAGATAAGCAAATGTCTCTGTTTGATACCAAATCTGATAGAAAAATGTTTTTGCTTTCTACAAGTCACAGTATTTTCTCATACGGAATGAAAATACACCCCTCCATAAAACAGGCACCTGTTCAGGCACAACAAGCAACCGACAGGGATGCAGCCTCGGTACGCATTCTCATTGGAGCTGGACAGATACAGGGCAGAAGTCCAGGCTGGGTTGGATGGGATGAATCAGAGTTGTCTTACCTGTGAATTTTGAGCAGAACATTTAAATCAAGAGCACTGGGTGCTGTACAGGCTGATGCAGCAAGATAAGCCAGAGAGACACCCGGAAGCAAATAATCCTGTGGGCAGGAGAGATCATTTGGACCGGGGGTCACTGCCTAACACTTGTCACACTGATGGCCTGGGACGTGTATTGGGGGTATAATGAAATCCCTCTTGATGCTTAAAATAATTAAGCATCTTTCGTCAGCGCCCAGTTAAGATGGTTGAAGTGCTCTGTTTCGTGTACATGTGCATAAATTTACTCCAGCCTTAACACTGTCCATCTAGTTCCCATGGAACAGTCTGTAGACTAGAAACCCAGAAGGCCTCATTGCTGTGCAGGCCCGTGGATGGATGCAGGCAGATTAGGAGATTCTTGCAGGCACCAGCATTAGAACCGCCCAGTTCCCAGTGATCTGGGGTCAGCTTTGTGGAGATCAAAGAGGCTTTGACTAGCTCAGAATACCTGCTTGGAAAGCATACGGCTTGCGCTGTGGTCGAGGGCATCCTGAAACAGCAAGAGCAAGACCAGCAGAGTGTTGAATAAACATTACAGCCTGAACGCCTAGCTACATCCCAGATTTCCTTGTTTGTTTTTGCATGCAGTACAGGCAGGCGTGGAAAAGGAAGAAGAATGTTTGGCTTCACATAGCTCCCTTCTCTCATGTGGCTAGTTTTAAGAACTTAACATTCTATTCATGGCCCACATTCAGCCTTCTTAATATGTAAATACGCAAGCCTGTACTTCAGGTGTGCCCTGAAACGACAGATGTGGGGTTGTTTTCAACCACTGTGTCCATAGTCATTTATTAAAGCCTTATGTTCACAGAAATGAAGAATCACCATATGATTTTTCATGCATTTACAATCTGAGTTAAAAAAAAATGAAGGGCTCAGTGCAGTAGCCTAGTGGCTAAAGTTCTGCATTACATGCATTGGGATTGTATGTGGGCACCTATTTGTGTCCCAGCTGCTCCACTTCCCACCCAGCTCCCTGCTTATGGCCTGGGAAAGCAGTCTTGGATGGCTCAAAGCTTTGACACCCTACACCAGCGTGGGAGACCTGGAAGAAGCTCCTAGCTGCTGGCTTTGGATTGGCCCAGCTCCAGCTGTTGCAGCCACTTGGGGGATGAAGCAGCGATGGAAGATCTTTCTCTCTGTCTCCTCTCTCTGTATATGGCTTTTCAAGGAAAATACATCTTAAAAAAAAAAAAGCAAGCAGCTTTGAGGAAAACTTCCATTGTCTAACATGAGTAATATGGCTATTCCATTTGGTTTTGTAGCCTCTTAATAGAAAATGAGGTCTTCATCATCATTGAAGAGATCCATCAGAGCCTGGATCATGGTGAAAATGCTGGGGACATGAGTTTCGCACAACAGTTAAGTGGATGCTGGAGGCTCTGTCCTGTCCTGGGATGCCCGGGAGTGGCTGCGTTTTTAACTCTATCTTCCTGCCAATATGCACCCTGGGAGGAAGCAACGGGGTGCCTCCTTGCCACCCACGTCAGAGACCCCAACTGAAGTTCAGGTTCCTGCCTTAAACCTGGCCCAACCCCAGCTGTTGGGGTCATTTGGGAAGTGACCAAGTGGACCAAAGATCTCAAGTAAATACATACATTTAATTTTTTTCCTCTCAACATTATTTAAAATTTATTTTTGATGATATTTATGTAGTTGTTTAGGATGGATGCGAAGGGTCAAAGATTATGGGAAAGTGGGCGAGATTATTGTTTCTAAATTTGTTTTTTCCTGTATCTGGGGAAAGAAGGGAAGTAAAGGGAGAAGCCACCCTCAGCCTCCCAACCGCCTCAGTACCCGGGAATGGGGAAGGGCTACCCCATGTCATCCCAGGGTCCCCGATGTGGAGCATGCTCTGAGGGTTCTGTTCAAGAGATATCAGTAGTTCTGAAATGCTATCTATCTTGCTGGTCCAAGGATGAGGAAATCCTTCCAAGCAGCATTGGCTGACAGTCCACCTTAGAATCTCCATTTGCCAAGAAATTTGCTGTCAATGCTTGGCTGGGGTAGTTGACCAACTTGTTTGCCCTCCTCTGCTGTGGAACCAGATGTCCTCTGCAGACCCCAATGGACTGCCATGTCCTCCATGTGCATCTTGGCGTGCCATCCACTGCTCCATCTAGGCCACTGAGGATGCCCAGTTCTGGTACATGTACTTAACAGTCAAACCACAGATCCTGAGATCCTCCCCCTGGTTGGAGTTGAGTCCAATGGTTTGGTTGGGAAGATCTGTAGTTAAACCTTGTCTGAAGTGGTCCCAGACCTGGCTCTTGTGTGTGCTTGTCAGCATGGTGTCCTGTTAAGTCCACCACCCACATCAGCGTACGCAAACACTACTAGTTGCAATTACTGGTTCAGTTCTATCTCTAGCCCTGTCTCTTATATAAACCAATGGATACTGTGGCCTAGTCCAACCCTGCCCACTACACACTCAGCCCTCATGTACACCAGCTAGAGCTGTAGCTCAAACAACCCCATAATAGCCCCCACTTACCTTGCCCCGAATAACTCACCCCCAGCCCTGGTTCTTGTGCTTGCCATGTGCAGCAGACTGGTCCCCTCTCTCCCACATCCCATTCAGCTCTCATGCATGTCAATGAGCATTGAAGCCTAGCTCAACCCAACTGACCCCACTATCCAGCCCACACTCATGCCTGCAGGAGCCACCACCCACCAACCCATCCCCAGCCTTGGTTCTCATGCTCACCCATGGGAGTTGCAATCCATCAGAGAGGTGCCCACAGTTTTCCAACTGGGCTCACTTCCAGTCCCAAATCTTGCACTCTCCAGGTGGTTCTGCAGTGTAGCTTGACAGGATTTGTCCCCAGTTCCAGTACTTGCCAGCTGATGTTGCAGTAAAGCTCCATGAGCCTGCACTTAACTCAGGCTTTGCATGCATCATTGGATAGTCAGGTAGCCCAGCCTGGCTCTCCCCCAACCCAGTTCACATGCAGACCAATAGGTGGCCTGGTATGCCCTAGTCCCAGTTCCGACACTCACCAGTGCAAGTCTCCTGCAGTCCCCCTACCAGGCACATACCCCGCTCCCCAACCCTGGGTCTCATGGGTGAGGTGGCCCAGTCTGGCATGGCCCACCTCACTTCAGCATTTGCTGTCAGATACTGTAGTCTGGCCCCAGTTCCAGCCCTAATGAGAACTGGCTGGCATTGCAGTCTGGCCTGGCCTGTTCTCCCCATCCTGGCTCTAAGATATGCCAGGGGATGTTATGAACTGGCCCAGCTTGGTCTGCCCCCAGACCTGAGCCACAGGTATGCTGGCGGGTGCACTAACCTGGCCTGGTCTGGGCTGCTCCCAGCCATGGTTGTTGCACTAACTTGCAAGGACTGCATCCTGACAAAGGAGTTCCCCAAGCTCCTCTATCAGATCTCCTTCAGTGGCAGATCTTGTGCAAACAAATGGGTCCTTGGCCCAGACTTAGTCCACCTCCTGTCCTGGTAGGAACATTGGCCTTGCCCAACTGGCCCACACCCATTCCATTTCTTACTGTTGAGTTCTACAGCTCTGCCACACCTGGTCCCCACTCAGACATGGCTCTCATGTTGTTCAGCAGGTGCTGAGACCTAGCCCAGCCCATCCTACACTGTCCTTGGCTCTCACGAACACCAGTGGGTCCTGGAGTCTAGCCTAGTCTGGCAACCCCCTGCCCCAGACCCAGTCCAAATTTCACAGGAGGATTTCAGGGAACTGAACTAAGACTGAAGGAGACAATAGACATGAAAGGTATGGACTGATCCCCAGCCACTGCTGGTCTCCACCTAGAGCAGAGCAAGAGGACCTGTGAGTAAGATTGTACAATGAACAGTTCAGAGATGAGGGAGAGGGTGCCCAAGCTGACTTAAATATTTGAGTGAAGAATGCTGAGAAGGAGGCTGTAAACTCTTCCAGCTGTCACTGCACAGCAAGGGGTATTGCACACCACCTTCCTGTTCTCGTGCTTTGGTTTTGCAAAGTCTAAGCCCATTGGTGATCCTCTACTCCATCACTGACAGTTATTCTCACCCACAATCACAAACTCCAACATGGGTGAGGTTAGGTTTTTTTCTTCTAAGAGCTGGACGAGTGTGGCTAGGTGTCTCCAACAAGATGTCCTCTAGGCATAGAATATCATCTCCACCCTTCCCATCACATGCCCCTTGCCAGCCCCACCTGGTCTTTAAGTCTGTCTCACACAAACACATCGTCCATGTCCTGCCTTGAACCCTTGCAGCTCTCAAGCTGGGATCACTCTCCTGCTGCTCCAGTTCCCATGGCGTGGTTCTCTTTTCCTTGTATCCTTAATCATTCGGAGGCTGACTTGTAGTTCTCTGAGCCTCTGTCTTTCTCCTGGGACAACTCCACAGAACGGGCTGGAGTTTCACATGCCCGTGGTGCTCTGTATGTTGGGCAATAAATACACCTTGCTGTAAGTACAGCATCCTAGACAGGCCCTTGTAAATAAGAGTGTTGGTTTTCTGGGTTATTTCACTTCAGACAGCAAACAGGAGTGCTTAAAGGCAGACCACATAGGTGAAATAATGTGGATCTGAATTAGGGTAGTTGCTTTAGCAGTACATATCATCCATGAATGCCTTGTACTACCACTGTTACCTTAACAAGCAGTGCCCGTCACATTGAGCACACAGTGACTTTCCACGAATGGTAAAAGGACATTCCAGTATCAAGAAGTCAGAGGTGTTCTTGTCGGCATCACAGCATGCTGTGATTTACTGCTCATCACACCTGTGGCCTTGCTGAGGCTCACCACCACTTGCCTATAATTAACGTACGCCAATAAGTATCAAATAGGTTGCCACTTATCTCTGTCCCCATTTCAAATCCAGTCCAGTGACACCAGAGCAAGAAAGCCCAGGTTAAGGGGGACAAAATGATTGACTCTTAAAGCATTTAAGAACTCATGACCAAACAAAAAATGATTTTATTTTAAAAAGAATACATTTACATACAGTACATAAGCAACACAGCTGAAGGCTTCCCAAATAGAAGCCTGGAGCATATGGCCCTGAAACGCCACATGCTTGGATTACACTGGGAGGTGTGAGTTGCCTATTTGGCGAGAAAATCCTATGTTACAGTGAGGCGACTAGACATGCCATGATTTCAGCCACTGCAAATTAAGGGATTTTAGTTCAGGTGTGTCATCTGGGTTCCCCACCCTAACCACCACCCCTTCTTGTGTTGTGAAGGTTCAAGCAAAACTGGCATAAAATGATAACTATTTAGAATGAAGGTTACAGTATGGACACTCCAGCCAGGGTGATTGTAGGTTGGGGACAAGATGGGACAATTTAGAAAGAGCATGCCATTCCACTTTGCTCCTTGGAGGACCAGTAATCCTGAAGTCTTTAGTGTCACAGTTCTGCAGTGGCCAGGCCACCAGCCCTAGGTTTACACTGGATACCTCGTGGTGAGCTTGACTTAAATTCTTAGTCTTTAACATTCCAGAGCCAGAGAGAGGTTCCAGAACAAGATAAAAACCTCACCAGGAGGGGGCAGTCTTTCCCCAGAGAGCAAATCCCAGTGTCAGGGGGTCCCAAAGGCTGACACTGAAGGGATATGCAGTAGTGTGTGAGACAACTAAACAAACGGAAATGCTGAGTGAGAAATGGGTGCAGAAGGGCAGGAAAGGCAATGGCATGAAACAGGTCATGGATTTTCAAATCAGATAACTAAAATGTGACCAATCCTGACAAGTTCTTGGGTCAGTTTTTAATGTCCTGTAGCTGAAATTCAGTCTCAATCCTAACTGTGTCACTAAAGCCTTAAATGCAACATTATAATCGAATGAACTTCCAACTGTCAGCGCTTAAACAAAAAGGACAGGGGTAAAATCTGTATGTTTATGTAAATGACCTGCCAGCACCCACTTCTGTGACAGTAGCCAAAAACCCCTCTTTTGCAGACACAAGTCGGAAAAGCTAGTCCTTGTGTCAGTGGGTCTCGGACAAATCAGTGAAAGTACTGTGTCAATATCCAGTGTTGTGATCTCTGTTTTGGCAACTGGAGGGAGTGAAGGCAAATCAAGTGCCTATTTATCCAACCAACAAACCCTCACCCGAGGGACAGTCAGAGCCTGTGAGCGCTGTAAACGCCACTCAGGGCTTGATGTCACCACAGTGAAATGACAGGTCATTTTGACACTTGTCTCCTACAACAATTATTAGAATTTGAAGTGAAAATGGGACGTTCTGCAAAAAATTAAGGGATTGTATCCTCAGCCACATACCAAGATCAGACTCACAATAACATCATGGAATCTACTGAAAATAGGAAAAGTGGTTTTTAGTTTGAGGCTGGATGAAAAGAGAGGGGCCTCTGCATTCCTCAAAGAGGATAAAGGTTTCCGAAGTGAGTGCATGATGATAAGGAGTCAGGATCATGAAACACTGGCATGAGCCCAGCCCTGGTACCTTAAGAGAGATGGTATTAACTCCATATGTCCCAACTTTAAACAAAGCTATAGATACCTGTCCCTGACTCTTAGGAACTGAAGAGGAGCCCCTGGAGGGAATTCTGGTGTTTGCACCATCATCAGCCTCCGGGGCACCTGCCCTAGGATTGGGGGATGCTCTGTCCTGTTGGCTTGTTTTTCTAGGAGAGGCCCAACCAGTTCTCACATTAACTACCTTGAAAATTGCTAAGACAGGAGCGATGGGAAGATGGAAAGGGAGCCTCTGTTTAACTTTGTGGATTGTGAAGCAGATTTACAGCAGGGTAGAAAGCTTGCCCCCAAGCCACTCAAGAACAGGAGTTTCAGCGAATCCTGAATGTCACTTTACTGAAGGATAGCTCTTGACTGGCCAGGGGAGGTGGCAGCAGCCCTGTTGTGTCATGAGTCAGAACAGCCCCAAGGACCTGGAAGTCTGCAATTGCATAAACAAGGAGGAGAAGATCCCTATTTCAGTATGAAGGAGGCTTGGACTTATCAGAAAAGCAGGCCCTTCCCCGCGACCCCACAACTCTGAGATTGCCTTGCACCACTCCACAGCCAGCTGTATGCAGAATGGGCTCACTACCTGAGCTGGCGTGGTCTAATCTGACTGTGAGGAACTCACCCTGTCCAAGGATTGCAGTTTTATATGTGCCACCCTTTCTCTTGGATCAAAGTTCCAGTTGTGAAAATGAGACTTGATTCTGGACAAGGTCATGACTATCTCTAGCCTTCCAGGTCATCTCATCTCCCTGGTTTTCTAAACCACAGTGGACATAAAGCTGAGCGTACATGACTGTTCCTGCAGCCTGTGCCTGGGTTCAAGTCCATGTAACACAAAGTGTGTGTGGGTGGGGGTGATGTCTACAGGACTCACCTGGGGTTCCCAGCCTGGCTCCACTGGAGCGCAACCCTGATCGACTGATTTTGTTTATGGGAAAATTTTCCCTTAACACAGCAGCATCATTCATCTTACATAGGCAGATCAGGCATATGGCAAAGTTTTGTTTTTTAAGAAAACCCAATTGTCAAGGCTTGCCCACCCAACAATTTCCCCATGTCTTAGCTCTCACGCCTGTGTGGGCTAACAGCCAGCTGGCAGAGGCTCAGGGTAATCCCAGAAACCTGTGCAGCATTGGCACAAAGGTTGTAGCACAGATGCCAACAGATGTGTAGGTAACAAACTTGTAAGGCACTTCAATCTCCAGTCTCTGTTGGGCCTCCTTGTTCCTGGTCACCACCTTGAACCATGAGTACAATACTTGCAGCGAGAGATTTTGTACAAGTTGACGAACCAAGAGGATCAATAAGATCCCCACAGCAAATTTGGTTAGACCCAACACTAACATGCCAGTGGTGAGTGATGGGATGTTCCGGATGACAGGGAGGGATTCAGTGGGCTTGGACACCAGCTGGAAGAAGTGGTTGATCCAGAATCCTACAGTCACCCCGGCCCCGGCAGCCAGGATGGTGGTGGTGTCCGCCCGGGTTGGGCTGTAGTAATCAGACACGGGGTAGTTGTAACATAGGAAGAAGGGTACAATGAGGACGCACACAGGGAAGAGGGGGCTTGCTGAGTCCAGGTGGTCGAGGAAGGTCCAGGTGGGGTAGGTGAGGCCAATGAGCAGCGCGGTGATCAGGAGACCACCCAGCACATCCTGTGAGAAGCAGAGAGAACAGGGCAGGCCCGTGAGTACCTCTTTACTTACAGGCATCATTTCCAGTCAACTATGGCTGAATGGAGATTGTTGTATTCTACAGCACGTGTTCAGAGAAAGAAAAAAGCGATACCGGCCTGAAACAAAAATATGTACACAGCAAGCAGGCTGTTCATGTTACCTCTTCTAGTGTTTCTGTACTTTGCAGTCAACTCTCTATTTGTCTTAATGAATAGCTATCATTTCATTATTCTTTCAATCTGATAGTATTCTATTTCATAACAATTCTATTTCCTTTTGATGCACTTCTGCAAGCAGCAGGCGATCCAAGTGCGTGGGTGATCCGGACGGGGGTCCAGGACCCTGGATGCAGCCTGACCCAGTGAACCAGTCAACTCAAGATCTCTGCTTCTGTTTCTCTCTCTCTCTCTTTTGTACCTTTGCTATTTAAATAAATATTTTTTTTAAAAAAACAAATGTTTCGGGCCCGGCGCAGTGGCGCAGTGGTTAAGGTCCTCGCCTTGCACACCCGGGATCCCATGTGGGCACCGGTTCTAATCCTGGCAGCCCCACTTCCCTTCCGGCTCCCTGCCTGTGGCCCGGGAAGGCAGTCGAGGACAGCCCAAAGCTTTGGGACCCTGCACCCGCGTGGGAGACCGAGAAGAGGCTCCTGGCATCGGATCGGCATAGCATCGGCCGTTGCGCTCACTTGGGGAGTGAATCATCGGACGGAAGATCTTCCTCTCTGTCTCTCCTCCCTGTATATCCGCCTTTCCAATAAAAAATAATAAAAATAAATCTTTAAAAAAAAATAAAAAAACAAATGTTTCAATTGTAATACAAATGTTGTCACAGTCATCATGAGAGTGGTGGCACTTTTTCTAAGCAGGCAGAGGCTCCCAGCGCACCAGTGGGACTTTGGGGTCTGAGAAGACATTCGGGATGCAGTGCCAAAGTGCCCCAGTACAGTCACGTCGCCGCTAAGCACTCTCTCTTTAGAGATGGGTTTCCAAACAGTGTGCCTGCAGTTTCACAGAGCAGAAATACCACGTTAATCAATCCTGTACTTTTTTTTTTAAAGATGTATTTATTCTTATTGGAAAGTCAGATATACAGAGAGGAGGAGAGAGGAACAGCTTCCAACCACTGATTCACTCTCCAAGTGACCGCAATGGCCGGAGCTGAGCCGATCCAAAGCCAGGAGTGGGAGCTTCCATGATGGTATGCTAGATCTCATTCTCACCCACTGTTCACCTAAGTCAGATGCCATTCTACTAGACATGGACCAAGAGATATAAATATCGTGGGTCAGGGGAAAGTACAATAGAGGGAAAGAAGTTGCGAGTGATCTTGCAAGTGCTCAGGGAAGTCCAGTATACATATTTGTGGTGGTAGCACTGGTTTTCCAGGTCACAGAAGAACAGAGTCATTGTGGTAGTATCTGATGGCCTCTCCCCTCCTGTACTCAACAGTAACAATGGTCCACAGACCCCTGCCTCTCCCTACATTCTCTCTCCATCTGCCAGATCACTGAATGCCCAATGCATTCCCAGAATCCAGATCTTTATTCAACTTGACTGTGCCATTTTCCTGCCCCAAAGCACTAACTAGCTACCTTCCTGATTCCTGCTTCAATAGCAAATGTTCTCACATACCTGTGACACTGCAGTCAACTAGGGAGATTGGTTAACTGCAGACTCAGGGAATTGCCCCCAATTCTGACGCAAAATGTGACCCCGCAATTGAACTCCATAAGGTCATTCAGATACGGTGGGTCTGTTGTACAGCCTGGCAGCCAAAGTGCTCCATGACAGGGGTTTCATTAGCCTGGCACTAAGGGGCTTTCTCACTCTGCTGTCCCTTGAACTTCACACTCAATTCAAACAGATGCACTTGTTTTATAAACATGCCTGGTGCAATTTCACTATCATGTGTTGCATTTTTTTTTTATGGGCAGCACACTCCAACCACCTCTGTCTTCCTAGATCTTACCCCTCCAAGGCTTAGCTCAAAAACTACTTTTATGGAGACCAGCGTTCTAACACAGTGAGTTAAGCTGCCATTTGAAAATCTGGCATCCTATTTGGGCTGTGGTTCAAGTCTCAGCTGCTCCACTTAGTGGGCCTGGGAAACAGCAGAGGATGGCCCACAGGTGCTTGGGCCCCTGCCTCTCACGTGGGAGTTTTAGACTCCCAGCGTCTGCCTGACTTAGCTCAGGTCTTGGTGGCCATTTGGGGAGTGAACCAATGGATGAAAATTCTCGTTCTCTCTGTGTCTCTGTCTCTTTAAGGGTGTATAACTCTAACTTTCAAACAAACAAAAAAAAACCCAAATATATATATTTTTAAAAACATATTTTTTCCCCTAAAATATCACAATGTATCTCCACAGCAGGGTAAAACAAACACACAGAAAAAAAAAAGCCCAGCCCTTTCCTCTTTCCTCTCCCAGAACTGAATGGGAAAGTCCTCGCTTCTTCTCACTCACAAAGCCCTTTCATTGCCTGGTGCTGCCGTAATATTTGCATGTTCTTGCTCTGTGCTGCTAGGAGTCTGATCAGCAGCCCAGAATCCCTTACATCTTTGCCTTGTGCCCAGAGCTCCTCACCCAGATGTTCTCAGTGATGAAAACAGAACACATTGCTTCCCCGCCCCCCCGAATAGCTGGAATACTTAGTGCCCAGTTTTTCAACAGGTAAGCAAAGCTTGTCTGCCTTCGCAGTATCTGTTCACCTTCAATTCAGCAAGAGACTATTTTGTCCATAGCCTCAGCATTTGAGGCAAAACGAATCTTAATCAACATGGAGAATTCTGCAGATTTCTTTTTTCCTTCTCGTAGTACACCCATAAAAGGTGATATTGTAATAAACACTTATAAACATTATGCGAGGAAAATACTTGAAGTACAGCTAATGAGCTTTCTAACTTTAGACGTCCAATATCATATCACAAAGTTATTCCAATGTGGCTTCTAAATTAAAATATTGCAAATGTTTGAAAATTTACAAATGACACTTTCTTACATTGGTTTTTCTAAGCTACTCAATTCACAGAAACAAAATAAACCCCAAACAACCATCATCTCTGAGTTGTATGTGGCGTTTTTTTTTCTTTTTTCACATTAAAAATTAGTTTGAGCAAAGTATTGTGGTAGAGCAGGTTACATTTCCACTTGGGACATCCAGTTTTCTGCTAGCTAGTTTGTCTCAGACATAGCAGTGATGGCCCGAAACCTTGGGTTCCTGCCTCCCAGATGGAATTCCTGGCTCCCGACTCTGAGCTGAGCTAGCCCTAGCTGTTAAGGATATTTGGAAAGTGAATCAGCAGTTGGAAGATTCCTTTACTCTCCTGCAAATAAATAAATCTTTTTAAAAAAAATTTCAGAGTTAATTTCTTTGGAATTGTACAGCGCTTAGCACCACTATGTGGGGCCAGAGGGAAAACAACTCATAGTTATACAGGGTGTAAATAGCCAACTGTGAAGCAATGCCAGTGGAACTGAAACAAAGACAAAGGTTGGGGCACGCCAGCCGGCACTGCCATCATCCCATCCTGAACAGGTCAAGTTGGAGTGGACAGCAGAGAAAAGGGAGGAGAAGGGAGCATGCATTAGGGCTACAGGCAGAGACGAGCACTAATCATTCGCCTGCAGTGTCAGCATGGCTCATGTCACGGCTGCTCCACTTCCCAGCCAGCTCCCTGCTTACGACCTGGAGATACAACAGAGGACGGCCCAGAGCCTTGGGGCCCTGCACTCAGGCGGAAGACCTGGAAGAAGCTGCTGTGTCTTGCTTCATTCAGAGCAGCTCGGATCAGATCGACTGGCTATTATGGCCATTTGTGGAGCAAACCAGCAGATGGAAGACCTCTCTCTCTCCCTGCCTCTCTCTCCTACTCTCTCAGCAAATTCTGCCTTTCAAATAAAAATAACAATAAAGGAAGAAATATCTAGAAACTAAAGATAATGGTGCAAAAGGCATGGCAAGGAAAAGACCTGAAGGCAAAATGGCAAACTATTCTTTACTCTGCATGCAACATGCTTCAAACTCCTTTCTATAGCAACATATGATTAAATTTTAAAAATTCAATAGTCTAGTAATTTTACTCCTAGAAATTTATTGAGAAATTAATTGGAGAAGATAATAAAGCTGCTTACAAAAGTTTATACAGAAAAGTGACTCTTGTTGGGTTATTTCATTCAGGCCAATGAAGTTCAAAAAGTAATTTGTACTCTATTGCTGTACAATCATAAATTGTAAACAACGGTCGAATAAAGTGTAGAACAAAAGTGGATGCTTAGCCTAGTGGGCAAGATGCCCACATTCTGCATCACAGTTACTGGGCTGAATCCCCACCACGGTCCTTGACTACAGGTTCCTGCCAATGCACAGCCTGGGACTAGGTGGGGGGAGGGTAGGCTCAAGTGATTGGGTGCCTGGACCTGGGTTGAGTGTCTGGTGCTCAGGTGTGGCCCCACTCAGCCACAGCCACTGAAGGCATTTGGGGAGTGAAGCAATAGATGAGGGCTCTCCCAATGTCCAGCCCTGCCTGCCTCAGTTTCTCTGTTTCTATGTCCCTATCTCTCAAGTATATAAGAAAAATAAGCTGATCTCAATTTTAAAGGATAGAACGTACATCATCATAATTATATATATGGAAAGATACAAATCAAGCCTACATTCTTTATAGCAAAAAATGAGATAAACATATCTTATTTCATACAGCAAGTACATTTTCTGTTTGAAAAACATACATTTCTGTAACCAAATTTTTATAGTTTAAAGTAACCATAATTAAGATGTATCAAGCAAGACACAAACTTTACATAATGGTTGATCTTAATTTTATATAAATATATACTTGTATGCGCCAAAAATATGACGAGGAAATAAACAATAATTTTTTTTTCCGTGTTGGGATACCAGAGTATTATTATCTTCTGTAAGCTATAAAGTATTTTTCAAATTTTCTAAAGTCAGTTCCTGTTATTTTTATTACAAT